TTCTATATACAAGAACCAACTCTTCTGAATAGTAACTATTGTGAGGCAAACTTGGAGTTGGTTTATTAAAAACTAACAGCTTACTCAAGTAAAATCACCGTCGTCATCAATAGTTACCGGAAGCCCAATCCTTCCCCTCCCCCGATCCCTCCCTAATCCTTAAATTTCCTAAACCCTAATCTCTAAATGCTCGGCAACGCTCTCGTAACTTCTCTGTTGCGGGTGTTTATGAGCGGCGGCGCTGATTGCGTACCATCAGGTAATCCGTCTGCTCATTTGCCGACATATTATACAAAAAAAAAAAAACAAAAAAAAACTGGTTAACTCGGAGCCAAGAATGTTTTTTTTTAATTATTCTTTTATTTGTTTTTTTTTTTTTGAGGGGAAAATCATCAAATGACTTCTCCCGCCCAGGGTTAGACGAGAGAGAGAGTGTCAGACTCTTACTGACTAAAAACCCCGGCTCCCGTAGTGACTTGAAACTAGCCGAGCTTTTCTCAGAGATTTTATGCGATTAAATCGTTATTTTCAATGAACCAACTCCTACTAACTACTACTACTAACCTTAAAGGGAGGGGAAAGAAAAATGACGTAGTAACAAAGCAAAATAAATAACAATTTCAGCATGGGTGAGCCACGTTTCGGCACAAATGCACCGGCTCGACCGGAGTGGTACCAGAGGGCCTACCCTGACGTGTTAAAGCGTCCATCTTAAGGGTGAGAAAGAGGGATGGAGCTATAAAAGGTGTATAGCTCCATTTCTCTTTCTCGCCAGGAAGCTGGATATAGGGCGTCACAGAAAACCAGCGTGAAGCCAAACTTGCTTAGTGTTTCGCCTTGTGTTTGAGGTTACCTTCCCCATCCTATCTTAAATCCTCAATTCCCCTATTCTTAAATCCCTAATAACCCACAAGCCAGCAAAGCTCTTGTGGTAGGTAACTCCTTAAGACTGTCCTAGGCTAGCGCCGATTACTTATCATCAAATACATAGGTTTGCGGACCCGTGCCATTGTCTTCAAAAACCAGACAATGCCTAGCAATCAACAAGCTTCTTAACGTTGACTGATTACTATCAATTTGAAATTATTACCACGTGATATATTTACAAGTAAAGATATGATAGCTAATGTATGCTATCACTTTTGCCTACACAAATTATTTTGATCGACATGGTGTCTTGTAAATACAAGTCGTGATATCATCTCAAAACATTTTTATTTGTATTTATTTGGATCACCAACAAAGATTACACGTTACAAGTTAAAAATAAAACATAAAGAGATACAAATCCTTATGCATCTTTAATTATAGGAGACCACAACTTGCATTAAGATATCATTTATTCAATTATTAAGTAATATATGGAATAAAGTATACAATCTAAAAAAGACATTGAAATATTATCAGCTGGAATACGTTAAGGTTTATTAAAAGTCAAAGTTAAAACATTTATTTCAATTTGAGACTTGCAGTCAGGATTAGCTGATACTTTTGAACGTCAAACAAAGATTAAACATAAAAAAATGACAGTCCGTCAGTCAGTCCCCTTGATGAAGCTAATTGCTCGTTCCAAAGTGTAAATTCTGATGGAAAAGAACTGGCACAAAACTCAATGGTTACTCTTCTTCAATCAGTAAACTGTCTTCCGATCACTTGACGTAAGCAATCGGCGCCGACCATGGCCACCCGCAACATCGAAGAGTAACAAATGTGTTTTTGGCAGTTGAAGAATAGCGACAATATAGCAAAATAAATAGATTATAAAAATTGGTCCCGGGAGCAGGAGAAGGAATGCTGTGTAGTTTTTAATTAGTTAGAATCTGACACTATCTCTCGACTCACCCAGGCCGAGAGAAGTCATTTGATGATTCCCTGTCAATTAATATATTCAAATTATATTTTTTTCCGACATGACACTTTTATTATAAGTCAAGTTTTTAATACCGACATCAGCTACCATATTAATGTCCATTGTCGTAATTGTAAATAGGCTAATAAAACTATTTATGATTGGCAATTGTTAATTTATTACCTACCACACATATTTTTTACAACTATAATTTAACGTAGATTAGATATTAGTACCTATTTGGTGAATTTTTCCATTATTTTTATAGTGGCTATAAGATTATATTTTTTTTTTATTTGGATTGACGTTCGGGAGGTATCTTTTGCTATCGGGCTTCAACACAGACATTATTTTCTAGAAATATAACGTGTCTTGGTAATATGATGTCTTCAAAATGATGTCCTTCTAAAAACAGTAGGTGAAATCTCTTCACTGCTGAACAAAAGTGTTTCTTTTAAGATTTGACTAGCTGTAACCGCCCTATCTATCGTCCTGCTGTAATCTATTGCTGATTCGATCGAGCCAGTTATGCGTAGTCAGATTCGCCCACCGCGAAATGTTATTGTTACAATATTCAGTGCTTATCGCAAATTGTAATGTAATACTTTGTAATGTAAGTGTGTAACTGTAATGTATCTTACTTTGTGTTTGCTTTGTAACTTTGTGTACTTAGTAAGTAAGATACTATTTTTTAAGAAAATTTGTGGCAAATTTTGGGGGGGAGTAATGTAGGGACACATGTAAGTACGTATGGCAGAGTGCAAGGTATGCGAAAACGTATGTGAGCGTGAAGTATGCACGGACCGGACAGTTACTGCGCACTGGTCCGAGTGAACGGTTCTCCTTGGGGTTTACGCGAAATATATCCGGTATCCGAACGCCGTGTTTCACTGAACCCCAGAACCCGCAACCAGAAGAGGCAGAACTCAACTTAGGGATTTAACCCCAAAAGCGAATCCCTAAAACCTAAAATCTGTAAAAGTAAAAAAAAAAACTAACAGGTCATAAAATCATATTTATGTCAAGATTGAATATATTTTTTAACATAGAAGTAGCCTTTATAAAAAAAAGAAGTACCTAGTCTTTATAAAATTATCATAAGGTAAAGTAATTCTTGTTCAAAGGCACTGAAGACAAAATCCTAAGCAATAAACAAATGAGTAACATTAAAAAGATACAAATCATATTAAAACTGAACTCTTGTAAAAAGTGTATTATTTTTGACCGATTAAACATAGACTGTTGATATCTGTCCTAGCGAAGAAAAAAAACACGTGATCCTTCCAAACAACAAAATCTGATGCCACGTCGTAAATAAAAGAATTATTATACCTAGAATCTATGATGTTTTTTCTAACGATAATAAGCCATAAAGATAAGTTAAAACGAATGAATTAGAAAAAATATTAGAGGATTTTCCTTCACTCTATCAAGTGAAATAAATTATAATATTGATTAGACATGGCTTAACTTTTTGACGTTTAAGTAATCCCTTGTTGTAGCTGGGGGCTTTATGATGTGTTATCTACGAATAATAGAAATCATGCTAGCTTTAATCTATGGTTTATCGAAAACGCAAATCGTTGAGTAGCTGCTAATGAATTTTCTATGTAATGGGTGTGGATTTTTAAATATTGAAATAGTAAACATCGTAATAAAAATATATTTTCATATCGCTTCAAGTTACAGCGTAGTTCTGAAATGGTTAAAGACGTCGAAGGAAAGAATTTGAATTTCGTAACTTTAAATCTAAGTTTAAGTAATGTCGTGTTGGCCCGGAGGTTAAGGCGCCCGCTTCTTATGCATGACGGTGCGGTTCTACAGCTGGCAAAGACTCAATGTCACTTTTTCTAAGTTATATGTACTTTCTTTGATTATCTAGACACAATACGTTTCGATATATTGATTTATTATTGTTTCACCAGTACTTATAATTTCTAATGATCAGTTTGAAATCGCCAATCCAACCATCCATGAAACCATCTCCGTGTGAGTTGAGACCTTTGCTCAGCAGTGGGCACTTATAGGCTTACGTTGAAGCTGAAATCTAAGTTTGAATTAGATATGGGCTTTAATACAACGACCGGCTTTCGTAAGATAGGTAACATTAAAAATTTTGGTAATCCTTAACTTTCTTGCCCGGACGGAGAATATGGCAAACTACTTATGTTCGGATGGATTCTGTCTCATTATGTTTTCTATGTGTTTGGGCAATCTAGCAGACAGATTTCCTAATCGTCAATCGTCATCGTCGGCAATCGGCGCCAGCTGGGGTTGCAGGGTAAGCGCAATGAGGCACCGTGACCTCGGCCCAAAGCAGGAGAAGGAACTGGGGCTTTTTAGTCAGTAAGAGTCTGCCACTCCCTTCCACCCTACCCTGGGCGGGAGAAAGCATTTGAAGATTTTCCTCACAAAAAAGCAACCGGCGCCGCAAAGCAAACTCATATCACCAGAAATGTTACAAGTGCGTTGCTTGCCTTTTGGGGGATTATAATGATGATGATTTAAAGAAGATTAAAAATTCTAAATATTTATAAAATCATATACCACAGTCAGCCTCAGTAGGTAATGAATCTAAATGACACTATCGAAAAACTATAACAAAAATAAACAATTGAAATCATCTAAATTCCGCTTCAACTTGTCAATACACTTTCTAATGACAGGTATAGTAAACTTATTTAGCAATTAGTAACGCAACAACCCTTTGTTCTGAATATAAACATATTCAACAACAATATGAACAAACAAACAAACGTTCTATACAAATAATATAGATGCTGCACACGCAAAGCCATTTTGTCGCAGACATAGAGACAAGAACTAATCTAGGAAGTTAGACATCCAAGTAACATAGTCGAATTACTAAGAAAAACACAGTGAAAAGGAAACGATTGACGTAAAAAAAATACTCAAAATAAACGAAAAAGTTGGCACTGAAAATCAATTTGTGTGTTGAACCAAAGTAAATAGTGGTGAAAGACTTTTTCCAACAATAAATTCTTAATATTGGAAATTGGATTTGAAACAATTAATAAAGATTGGTGTACAAAAGAAGCTATTACGATATTTAAAACCGCAATTCAACAAATCAATAAAAACGAAACTATTGTTACTGATAAAATAAAAGGTAATAACTACAGAACAGAAAATGAACAAAAACGCTTTCGTATTGACGTTCCTACTCCAAATGAGTCATGTGTTTTACTGCATCGAGGATCCAGACAAAATTGACGTGGTTGATATGACCAAGCCCACCACGTGGCGAGACCTGGCTATTTACTACGGTGCAGTGGAAAAACATTGGTAAGCTAATTTTCTATAAATTAACCAGAAAAACCAGAAATTCAATTCAATCGAGGTAATGAATGAATAAAACACAATACAATGAGCAACAATACGTGTGCAAACGCCGGCGCTTGCTTGGGGTTTCATGATACCTAGAAGACGGTGCCTCAGGTTCTTAACAAAAGTATCCATTACAACCTCACATTAATGTCATATCGTATCAGTGAACTCATCGTCAGATCGTAACGTATGAATAGTTATGTTTTTGCTCTTTCATTTTGTAGTAAGTACAAAAAAACACGAGAGATTTATAAACATCGCTTTAAAAATACAGACGTTATTTTCAAACTATCCTATTGTTTTCTAGGAAGATGTGCATCAATTGTGGCGTGCCAGACTTAGGCACTGGAATTCACTTGGAACATACTGGCAGCACAGGATCCATGCACCCAGCTGTGATACCTTCAGAATACTTATTAAGTCGCCGTAAGTTATTGTTCTTTTCATAATATTTTTATCTGTATTTTGATATTCTTTGTTTGAATAATACGATGGTGGTAGTGGCCGTTCTGTTGGTATCACGGAGTAAGTCTGTGTATTAACGCTGTTGTTGGTTGTAGGTAATATTTATTGTAAAATGTACCTTATAGACATAGCTTTTATTCGGCTATAGTCTGGTCACGTGTATTCAATATAATAGTACAATATGTAAAGTTCACTGCTGATCAAAGGCCATTTAAGGATCGGCTGAAATTCGTACACTTTGCAGACGGTAGATGAAGATTCACAGGATGTCTGGATCAGTCAGTTGATATTTTAGTTTGAAGACATATTCATTGACCTTTTATAATAAAACTAAAGATATACCTTATTTGCTGATGGAATGTGTCAGAAAAAAAATGATTTAAAACAGAACTTTATAGATGTTGGAATAACAGAGAATTTTGGCAAGTCAGGAAAAGCAGAAGCCATTCCAGCTAAATTAAATTTAAAAAAATCATTAATAAAAGAAGGTTAACTAAGTAGGTTAGATACCTACCTAATTGATGATGATGTCTCATTCAATTTACTTTCTTAAGTTAGGGTAATAAAAGTAAGAGCGTATGATGGGGTTAGCATATCTATAATTTTCTCAATGTAATAGAGTGTAGATTTATCTCTCATATGTCCTTTTACAGTTTCAATAGTGGACGTAAGCACACTAACCACGCTGAACCCATCAGTGGTACTGACCCTGGACGTGGCTTTGCAATGGGCGGCCTTGAAGCATGATCCCAAAGAGCCAACACTACTGCTCTTCAAGTTCGGATGGACGGAAGATAATAATAACCAGATTAATGTTGGTGCCTGCGTTTGTAAAGTGCCAGGTGAGGTTTTCATTTATTTTATCACTTAATACTTTGGGCACTGAAGGCCTTTGAGGAACAGTAGCCCTGTTTGTTTAAGAGATATTTAGGCCACATATCAAGATTGGTTTAGTTTTAGTAGTAGATAAACTGTTTTTGCATCATAACTCTCATGAGACACATTATTTGCTATGTTCAGCTAGGTAATATTCATAAGCAGTATTAGACGCGGCAAACTATGTGCAACCATCACAATTACTCGTCAAACAGTTACGTTAGTGTTTATGTTGACTAAATATAATAATTAATTGACCTAAAAGTGGCTATAAAATCTAAGCATTTTTACTATGACTCCTTAGGTAATGGATGTACAGTCATGTTTAATGGGCTATTGCAGTATAAAATCGGCGCCGCCCATGGACACCTGGACTAACAGAAAAAGAGAGGAGTTATGTTTTTAGTTTTAGTTTTAACTCGGTCGATTGCGTTGGCATCGAAATAGTTCGCGCTACCGTTTCGTTGTCTACATGAGTTCAATAAGGTGTTTGGCCAAATACATAACAAAGCCCGCATAATGTAAACCTGCAGATCAGAGCACAATAGTCTTCTGATATCGGACCCTATTAATGGTCTCACTAGATCACTTATTGCCAAGCCCGGCAAAGATAAGAAGTGAGTTACCGGTATTTTGGGGGTTTATAGATATTAAGAGGTATTTAAAAGAAAAAAATACTCAGAAAACATTGTGAACTGGTGTTGCTTATTGAACAAATTTATGTAAAATGTTCATTTTGATAAGTTACTAGTTAGCGCAAATCCCTTTAAGTCTCATATCTCGCTCCAAGTCCTAATCAGATTCAGTCAAATGTCAGTCTGTAAATGAGGATTTTAGTAATTTCATTATTATGAGGATTATCAGCCCTCTACCGACATTCTTGGTCCGTTATCGGCTTTTTAACTACGTATGACGACAATGCGAAATCGTGAAGTTTTAACACAAAGGCGCAAGTTTATCGCGCAAGTGTTCCAAAAGGGGTCAAAATTCTTTCGAGGATTTTATTAGGACAAAATTATAATTTTCTAGTGAAATAATATATTAATCTAGAAGAAATAATGGATACGAGAACTTAAATAAAAATTAATTGAAGTATTAGACCAGAACTTTTAAACAGCAGCTACACATTACATGTACCGACTAGAATCCACCCCGTTCTAACTCCTGATCCGGCCAGGCTGCAGTATGATATTGCGCTTGACCAGCAACACCGATCGGATGTCTCCATTGGCCCTAGCGGGCAGAGTCTGAACGGAGAGCTACTCTTGCGCGCCATCTGCAGACCCACATTCTGACCTTTGTACAATGTTCGGAAGCTTTATAAAGTAGGCCCGCTTCATTCAAGTCTTTTTAGCCACTCCAAACCAGTCCCCAACACATCACATCGCAAAAGCCTCTTCTAACACAGAGATGGTTGGAGCATCACCACGCTTGCTCAAGGCAGATTGCCGATTTAAAACGACGAACGACTCACAATGTTTTCCTATACCGAATGTCAGTAGTGTCTAAATATTCATAGAAACTAGGTACTCGTACATATAACACGGGAAAAGTCACATTGTATGTTATTACATACCAGGTTTTGAAGTCGCACTCTCATGCATGAGAAGTGGTCAAAATGGAATGTCAGTCTTTAATATTGTGATTCTGGTCCATGATTAACTTCATGCGTTTGTGTAAAAACCTCTTAATGTCACATTGTTGTTTTACGTAGTTTAAAATCCGATAACACACCAAGAATGTCGGCGAAGGGCTGTAAATCCTCATAATAAAGTAGATACCTAAATCATAAAAAATCTGTTGTTTACATACTTATTGACATTGGATTGTTTTTGATTAGGATTTGAAACAAAACGTCTAGTCTGGTCACCAGGCTGATATCCAGATGTAAGCAGTGGAACAAAAATACATTCACACGCTACCTAATAATAAAATTAACAAGACATTACAACAATACGTCAACGAACGTCACTTGAAGATTTTAATCTTTGCCAAGAAAAACAATCGTAAATCGTATCGATATCACATCGAACACAATCGATTAATTGTTCGATAAATCACCTACTACATTAGATAAGTTCATTTTGATCTCATTTCAACAGGAAAACAGTACCTACGATTTCTGGGCAAGATTTAATTTTTATATATCTTTCATGATTTTGATTTTCGATTGCTTATCTAATTTCTTTTATGCTTGCCATTAAGACCGAAATAAATTTATAACTGGACCGAACTAGTTTTACACAGACTAAAAATGTAAAAGTTAGAGAGGGTATTTTTCGCTTATCGTCTAAACTATTAAAAAAAATTGCACGTCATTCCTGAATTGGCTATCGGATAAACCAAGATCATCGTCGGTAATTTCTGAACCATCTTAAAGGTAGGCGCTTCTAACAAAAAAATTGCCTTTACCTTTTAAAACTTTAGTAAAATCATGAATTCAGAAGTGCCTAGGTACTATTGTATTGGTATGTTTATCATTGTCATTCTCACGATCACCCTCAACTCTTAACAAGAGCAAACATTTCAAAAATACAAAAATTAAAATCTGGTTTTCAAATTTTAAATTTTAGCGCCCTACCATCATGACACCTTTGGAATAGTCATCATGATATTAATGGGTTTTACTGGATAACTGTATTTAATAGTACGGGAAAGGGACTTTCTGCCTTATTTCTTCCATACAATCTTCAAGAAAGTTAAACAAAACTTCAGTATCCAACGACTTTTTTGCAGTTACAGATGTAGATACTCTGCTTAGCTAACATTGGAATTATTATTTTGATCTTAAATGATGTTGATGCCGCTGCTGCGGCTTATCAAAAAGTAGATATACATTTTTGGTGAGGCAAACGAGCAGGTGGATTCCTGAATAGTAAACAATAGGCGGCCCCTTTGGAACTATTAAGGAATCCAATACCAAACTTTGGTGTTTCCAATTTTTGGAGGTTAAGGATTTTAAGATTCTCCAATCCCCCCAACATTTAGGTATAAGGGAGGGGTGTAGGCCGTCTACTCACGCGGCAAAACACAATGCAGGCTTTCATTTACACCGGTTTCATATGAAAAAAAAAAACAGAACAATTTGTAGGTACCTACAAGTTAATTGATTGCGTGAACTCAGTGTTATCGGATCAAGATTAACCATCTGTGTGCCACTGCATCATAACCTACACATGGAAAGGGGCATGCTTATTTTATCGAAATTTAATCAACAATATTTATGACCATGTAAACAATACAGGCAGCTCCCAAAAGAGTGCGGTTGGCTGAGAAAAAAACTTGATACGTTTAAGTTGCCGATCACTGACTATTTACACACACATCTACAAACACATACGCATTGCCTTTCACTAACCTGTTTAATGTGGATCCTGATGAGCAATTTGATTTGAATGATGTATTAAAAAAGTATTATTTATTACTTATACTTAAACACCATTTTTCCTTGAAAGATGAGTAGTCTGACATTATGGGTTCAATCAACTTTGAAGGTAGGAAGACCTGCATAAATTTTCTGCAACAGAAAACTTATCAAAAAATGCCTGCTGGGGTGGAACGATCTTCGAAATTATTTTTACCCTCTTGATCTTGAAAACTAAAGCATAGAGTATGTGTCACTAAGGATTGGAAATGTGAGAAAAAATTTCTAAGTAAATCCGAACATAATATTTTGAAGAACGTGAAAAACTCGTTCCAAATCCGATGTTGAATAACTCTACACCGTGCCTGAACGGTCCGTGGCAATAAGAAATTACAAATGCTAGCCCAGCCAGCGCACAATACCTCGACGTAAAGCAGGAGAAGGAACGGGGTGGTTTGTCATTTCATCTGACATTGGATCTCGCCTCACCCTCTGCGATAGAAGCCAGGTGATGATTTTGTTTAGATTAAAGAAAATCCAGAGCACGATGCGCATGTCCACGAGGTCAAATGCCACGGTGAAGCGTGAATCATCCTTTAAAAAACATCTTCTATTCTTCTATTCCATCATCTTCTATTACATATATAAATAAACGATTATATTATATTATATTATACATCTTCTATTCCAAAAGATGCACAATTTTTGAGCGTTTGAGCATGACATTACGGGTTTTCTAGGGAAGTTGACTTTTACTACAAGTAAAAGTGGTTAAATGGACTAAGTTTGAATTCGTTTTGATTATGACTTTCCTGCAAAGTTCACGGTACAGTTATGCCCTGTGATCTGGAATTCAAGTTACATTCTCTTCTCCAGGTCTAAGCTATGAGTTAGCAGAATGGATAGCAGCGAACTTGAGCCACGTGGTTGGTGTAGCGACTGACACTCCTACCTTCGAGTCTGAGCAGACCAGGGAGTTCGCAAGCAGAACTGTCTCCAACGTGCTTGGAAGGAGCGGGATCTACATGATTGAAAATGTACATTTTAGGAGGAAAATGCCTGGTGAGTGACAATTTTAAAAAGACGTGGGGCATTGTGGGTATACTTTTCATCTTTTTGTTAGTCCTTTCCTAAGGTCTCGTTTACGTACACGCGGAGCGTTGTGCGGCGCGTATTTCGTTTGTCGTACATTACAGCTTCAAGACGTGTCAACGGCCGTGCAAACACAAACATATGAACATCAGGAGCAATGTATGACGAACCGCACATCGCACCGCACGACGCGCCGCTTAAACGTAAACGAAGCCTAAGTCGCGTCACTGAGAGGTGTTTGGCAAGACTTTAATCTTACTACTTTACTAAGTTATAGTAAAAGCAAAGCTTTGATAGTCGAATAAATGTGCTTTTAAAGGCACAAGGAATCTGTTACCTAGCTGATATACCTACCTATGATCTTTAGGATTATCTGTAGGTACCTACTTTAAATGCGTTGCCTTACGATTTTAACAAATGAACACTAAAATAAATATACCTAATCAAAAAGCTATCAATTACATTATATGTTACGTGCAAATCGCAGGTGGCGAATACGTAAATTAAGATAAAAATCTTAAATTAGTCATTTCAGTTATGATTGATAACTCTAAAATTCATTCAGACATTTTGTTTTCTACCGGTACGCAAAGCTACCAGACACATTTGCTATAGAAAAATAGCCAAATAGAGACAGACTTACAGTTTCATGGTTGATGCAATGAAAATTGTCGTTTGCTGATCGCTGAACTGGATGTTTTATCTGATATATTCGAAGTAATTACACTTACAGTTACCTAGTGAATCAATAAAGTACCCTAAACTAGATACCTACCTGTATGATGTCCTGGAACTGTTAATTTACTTCGTTACGGGATCTAAACAGACATTTACCTGGGATATGATGGACTTTAGTGCTTCAGTGTTTTCTACTGTAGATTCTGACATAAAGAAATTAAAACGATTTTGGGGTTGTGGTTTTTTACCAATGATAACAAAACCACTGAAACTGCTTTAATACACATGGATCTACAGTAGACACAAAAACTGGCCAAAAACATATCGGACAACGCTCAATGTAGGGTTCCGTAGTTTATCGTCTGTCACAATAAGTGTCCTCACTTAGGTAAGAGTTAAAATTCTCTTAAGCCTTCACTTAAGCTTATGAAATATTTTATTTCATAAGCTTCAATAACAAAAAAGTCAAAGTCAATATTTATTTTAGTTTGATTTTTAATAAGGGACGAAAGTAAGCAAGTAAGAACTAATTTTACTAGTAACAAAACAAAGAACGAACAAATACTACCTATAACTGCCAATAGCAGACCAACCACACAACTCGACAAAATTTGAGCTCATGTCCGTCTCGACCCTATTACCTAACTCAAGAAAAATCTTAACACCGCAATTAGCCGAGAAGTAGCAAAAATACAGCGCCATCTCTGAGGGAATTGGGTTAGGTACTAATTTATTTATACAAACTAGACGGGTTGTATGTTAAGTTTATGTTGGTAATTTTGGATTGCGTATCAACATCGATTTAATTTTTTTTTAAATGAAAGAAGAAGCCTTCAGAATAAGAAAATATGATAAGATAAAAAAAATTGTTCAGATTTTTTTGTAAGTACCTACAATACTTTGTTCAAAAACTATTCAACCCATCTATGTTCCAAAATTTCCTAGAACCCTAATAAAATAATATTTTATCTTTTTATTTTACCACATTGTCGGTGTGTTATAGGTAATTTATATGTGTGTAGCGTAATAGATATATGTGTATTAGTAGTGTAGTTCGAGTTATTTTTTTTTCAATCAGACTCGGATTAGGTAGTTACCTCCTGAATACTTTTCTGCAAATTTCTGTGCACGTCACTGAAGAAAGATTATGGTAGACTAGTCTCAGTGACATCTTCGATCTTCATAACTCTTCAACTCCACAACTAACATATTAGTAGATAATAGTCCCTGGTGGAGGAACGATACTCACTCGTTTATTTTTTAATCTTTCCAGAACAAGGTTGCATGGCCCTGGCAATGCCTCTGAAACTTCTGAACGCGCCCTACGTGCCCACCCGACTAACAGCCTTCTGCCCGTCAACAAAATCAGATCTTCACGTTGTAATGGCTCTGAAGAAAGAAGTCCCCACTCAAACTAGACTGCCTAACAGTAGAGTGTACGATGTCAATCTAGACGAAATATTAAGCTAGAATAAAAAATATTGGTTGGAAATTACTAAGCTATGATAATACATACCGTAAAACGGGGTGAATAGATATACAAAGGGGGCGAATAGATGTTGACGAATTTTCCTAGCATCTATTAACCCCTCTTCTGTCGCTATTCACCCCTCGAATTCTATTCACGTTTTCGTGCGTGTTCACCTGTGAAACCGCCGGTTTCTAATAGGTAAATGTACTGAACACGTCCTTAGTCCATTATGAAATGAAAAAAAAATGATGAAATTATGTTCGTTTTTTTCGAAAAATTTTAAACCTGGCAACAAACAAATTGGAGACTTATTTTTATGAATTTAATATCTGTAAGTACTTCTGGAACAGTGCGACTCTTCAAATGCCTTCAGTCAAAAAGCTGCCCATGTAGCTATAATTATAATGCAATATTATGTACTTAAGAAACGTTCGATTATTTTGCAAATCCAATGAAATTAGTAGACAATATGTAAGATATTTTTGCTCGAGGTTGCCCGTTCGACCCATCAATGTTGCTATCCAAATTAATTTACGGTCTGAGAAAATTTTATTTCTAAGAAACTATAGTTCCTCGTAGTTGAAATAGCGTGAATTACGAAAAATACAATTGGGTAGTTTAATAAATCAAATTCAAATGTTTTCCAAAATGTCAAAATTTAATTTTTCTACAAGTTTTATATGAGATAATTAACGTGTGATTTTTAAAGTTATACATATAAGATGAAATATTTATTTTGACCGACCTAACTATCTAATATGAATGACATATTTAATGTAGTGTGAATGAAACAAATAAATGTGCCTTTAGTCTGAGAATAGGGTCCTCATTTATTTACATTTATAGATTGAGGGGCGTGTTATAAAGTTTGTGTAATTATATTTATATGGTGTAGTTACACTAAATTATAAATATGGTTGTACAGGTAACATTATTTTAATTTATTTAAAATATTTCAAAATGTTTAGATTTTATTTTAAACTAAGAATGTTATATTAAGCAGAGTTGAAAGTGTTACCAAATAAAAAAACCGATTAGAATAAATAAGCTTTATTTTTGGCCAATCTATTACATTGCATAAACCTTTACATATCTATATTGAAATAAATATCATTACAAATTATTATATTAGAAAAAATATAGCACAAACTAATAGGTACTTTGGTTCCAACATTTGATCAAATTTGTTCAAACAATGGGTCCAACTACGACCAGATAAAATGCAAAGTATTTTATATTATAAAATGGATAATTATGACTAAAAAGATTATAAAACGGAAGCCTTATATTAAGGGAAAGAGCACCCAGGTTTTTAGTACTGAAGCACCCTATCTTTTGACGCTAAAGCAATACTTTTTTCGATATTTAAATGCCCTCAACAGCTTACTAAACCCTCCTGACTTTAGTCCAATCAACGCTTGCCTACACTGTTGACACATTAATGCCACAAGCTACATTTTATATATTTAATTTCCAAATGTACATTTTTATAATATTCCGTCTACGATAGTGACATTTGGCAGTATATATTACTTTTTTAGAATAACAACACCACATTCCAAACCTTCCAAATTCAAATTTTCAAACCAGAGTCGTAGGAAACCAACATAGTTTCATTTGAAAAATGTGTACTCTTCATCTATTTATCTTGTAATTTAAAAAAATATTAAAAATAGATTTTCTTTGAATTGGTGCACATATACCTTACATATTTATAATACTATATTTTGGTACTTACATGATTTTCTATAGAAGTGTGGCCCTTCATTATAGTAAAAGGTTTATATTTAAAGAAATGTATAAAATATAAATGATGACAATATTTGTTTAAAACTATTTCCAAGTTTGGCAACCCTATTCTGATTCTTACATCCATAGTGTGTTGCCAAAAAATAAAGTCGTCATCAAGTAGAAAAGATTAAACGAAGACAGATTAAAAAAATAAAATACATCATAGACCATTTTATAATTTATTTAAAATAAAAATAAAAGTATACATGATACATTTTGGAATCCGACCTTTTAACACCAAATGAATAGCAACACAGCAGTATTATTCTCATCTTACAACCCTTAACAGGATTCTAAAGGCGGGACAAGCCATTAATGTCCATTATACAAAATTTGTTACACATAGATAATACTGCGTAATTTTTAATTCAATCAGAATAGAGTCTTAATCTCTATAGCTATTGGTATTTATAAATCTACGAAAACTAATGACACCAAAATTGTTAGCTTGGCCCAAAAATGCTTTTAGGAATGCCGGTGTAAGCATACAGTGCCGACTAAAGGATGACAGTGAACTGACTTAAGATATTCCATAGAAATCGCCAGTTGTCACGACAAATTGCATTGACCACAACTAAATTAACGATAAGCTAATTACATTCTAAATAATAATATTGCTACATCTTTTAATTTGTAACATATGAAAAATTGTGGAAATACATTGCATTTTTTTTTTGTATTACAAACTACGAATTATTTATAAATAGATAGAAATTGTATTCAAAATACTGGCAACACAGTGGTTTATCACGAGATTTTGACAGTTGTAGTGATGTGACATGATAAACCATAGTGTGACCGTTGGTTCATACAGATTATATGCAACTCTATTATAATTATAAGGCTATAGATATCATAAGTATATTTCTAAAATTGATTTTATTCATATCAAGGTCTGTCATTACGTTTTCTATTATCACTGGATAGCTAACTTTAGTAAAATCTGTATGAAAAGTACATACGTTAGGAAATAAAATCATTACGATTATAATAATCACATAATTATATATTTTGTAATGTTTAGGTATGTATTACTAATGACTCGGCTTCGTCAAATAGTTGGCGGACTACGATCTAAAGAGGTATTTAGAAAAAGACTTTTCTAAGTCCGAGTTGAACATTGTATCACATTCAAAGTTAAGATGCGATACATTTGTACATTCAATTATATTTGTATGAAAAAGTATGAAAATATACTTCTATTAGTTGTGATAACATCGCAACTTAACAATCTACACCAACTATTTAATATCACCTTGATAATAATCTAATGTCTTGTGATTTCTCGAACTTTTTATCGCGTTCCCGATTCCTGTTTGACGAAGCGTTTACACTAATTTGTCAATAGGTTTTCTCAGTCAGCCACCATTATCGACACTTGCAACTGAGTCGGGCTCGACAAGATCACCGCGTAAATATTTACTGTGCGTTTTATAGTACTTTCCAATTATTTGTTAATATATTTTGGATCTTCATAGAGTTTCAGAAAAAAAAATTGATACAGACATTATAGTAGCATAAGTCACATACACACCACTAGTTTCCCGCCAAATCTCGTCCGCCATATTGAAAATTGCACACAATAAAAATAAAAATTGAACTTCATTGAATACAACTCATTGTTCGCTATGCCTGAGGTATAAAACTAGGTTTTTACTCTAAACAAGAGTGTAATATACCGATATTTATGGCACAGAGTAATCTAAGAACAGAGCCCAACTCAGTCGGTCTTTTCATAAAAATAATACAGCCAAGCTTAATCCTTCCAATCCTTTTTGATGTCGAAGCACCATTCCCATTGCAAATGAACGTTTTTGTCGTCATCAGTGAAGAGACTGTTGACGGAGTACGAACCTCTTGCGACCATTCCAGAGGGCGCGTCTTCTGGGGGAGTTGTGTACGACTGGATCTCAGTTTTGGGCGGGTACGAGCCGACCATGTGGGTCATTTTGTCCACTGAAATTGAGAGAACCATTATTGTAGTATTTATTAATCATTTACATTACACTTAATAAAACACAATAAAGTTGGGGTATAAATCTGGATAAATTCTATTACAAAATAATACGAAATAGGAATCAACGGCAAATCTTTTTTACAGGTCAACAGCATACAGCAACCTATATTAACACTACGTAAACGTACCAAATAGATTCAAATAATATACACATACGAATATATCAATTTATTTAAAGCACAGTTTAAATTCTCTACAAGTACACACAAAACATACAAAAAAAAAAAACAAACTGACACACACAATAACGACATCCAATCGACAAAAACTTGGTAAATTAGTTACAGATTCTTTGCCGTTCAACAATCTCGAATGTCATTACAACTATACGTAAACCGTATTCCAAATTCCTTGTTCTAAGCACAATTATGTCGATAACTGTGATATGAACGACAATCATAGTCCTAGGTGTTGTTTAAACCACTGCAGTTGTACCACTTGCAAGTTCGTCAGGTGGGTAAAAGAATAATTTATGAAGGAATCGATTACAACCTTCTTGAAGGGTAGGGTCAGCCTATTATAGCCAGTGTTATTGATTTGGACAGAGTGTTTAGTTCTTGGTACTGTTTCTTTTTTTTGAAGGTCATTCGTCCAGTTTAGGCTTTGGTGCACATCTACAATGTAACAACCTTTTCACTGCTAAAAAATATAATTATATGACAGTATCCACTCCCAAATGGGACCCCTCCTCCGTTGGCTCCTATCGGTAATACAGACTTGATACAATTCGGACCAGTTCCGCCATAAATGTGCTCAAACAACTTTATGCACAATCTATTTTGGAATTGCAAGAAGGCCTGCAGTTATTTTATGATTTATTATATTTAATAATATTAGGGGCATAATATAAAAATAAGCCAATATTTTTAACTTTGGAATAACTTCACTAACCATATCTTACTTTAGTCATCCCTATACCTCTACAAACTAAAAAGTTTCTAAATATTCCAAAATCAAATGAAGGACAACGAACAACAAAATATAATACATTCAGGAACAAGAATACATTAAAAGACCAATACACTTAGTCATCACATTGAATACAATACGGTACGACATTGGAGGTATAAGGTACACAGAATGTAATGCAGTTTGAATAAATATGTTTATACATACCGGGCACTGAGAGGGCAGCGTGGAAACATACAAAAAGCCATCAGATCGAGTGATATACAAATAAATAATTACATTTACAGGATAAAAATGGAATAAGAAAGAAAGTGTGGTAAAATGGTCTCTTTTATTTTAAATCAACACAATCCGTTTTTTTGCAGTCTGATGATAGGAAAAAACCATAAAAATACATAGGTACATGGAAATGGAAAGATCGTATCTTGCGACATAAAGCATGGTGGTTATTAGGAATAGCGAATACAGTTTAACAGCTTCAATGGGACACAGGGTAAAACAGTAAATGGATCACTTGATGGCGAAATACTACCATGGACAATTATTTGCAACACACTTGTAGTGGGTTGTCGACCTAACCACTTACAATGCTAATCGCAAATAACACATTTAACAGGTATTAAAGCGAGAGGAAACGCTAGACTCTTGCTGACTAAAAATTACCATGTTCCTTGTCCTTGAACTAGGGTGACCCCAGTAGGTACAACCGCAACCCCGGTTATTTATACAGACTCTTTGGATCATTATTAAGTTGGTTCATATATGTGAGAACAGTGTAACATGATATGGATAGGGCGACTTAAACTTGTTATGGATATTCGTACGAGCGACCTCGGAGGCCTGATAAACAGAAACAAGCCTCCTAGTTACTGAGCTAACCAGCAAAACAGAAAACAATATTCTGGCAATTACCTGGTACTCCCAGTCGGTAAGTCTTCTGCACATATTTGAGCCCGTGCACGATTTCCCTCTGCACAATGAAGTCAATCCTTATCCTGTACTGCACGCCTTCTTTTATCACGAACACCTGGAACATTAATGATATTGCATGTTAATATCTCACAAACACATTTTTGCATTGCATTAAATTTAGTACTTGGGCTAAATATATTATCAAAATCATTTTCAAATGCCACCTAGTAATGTTTTCGGCATTATCCCATTGTTTAGCAAACTGTTTGGAGATTACAACTATGTCACTCAAAAGTTTCGAGAATAATGCTGATGCATCCCAATTTTGGTAGCAGTTTTTGAACTTTAAAACTAAATAAGTTAATTATTTCAATTAGAACCTTGCAAGCATTTTTAAACGTCAAACAAAACATAAAGACAAAAACTGTCACACCCGGTTTCTGAAAGGCTTGTCAACGCTAAAATTAACTAATCTCCTGTTAAATCTCTTGTCAAGTCATCTGAATGGTTGTTGATAATTCAGTCAACCAATCAGATGACTTGACAAGAGATTAAATTGATTTTAACATTGATCGGCCTTTCGGAACCCGGGTGTTAGTCTGTCAGTCAGTCCGATGGAGAAGAACGGACAAGAAACTCCATGGTTGGTGACTCTTTTTAAAGATTGTTTGGTGAATATACCCAATGGGCATTTATTAATATGTCACAGATATTTCAGGTTGATAGACAGATTATCGGTATTGAACCATATTGAATAGTCGAGCATGAATAATCAGAGGCCTAAAAGCTAAAGATAAAAGATACAGATTTTTAATTTACTAATTAAAAATAAGAAAAGCACTATAATTGACTAGCCCAACTTTCTTTTTTCATTTAACTCTAATGACCATTTAACAGCACCATCAAATTATCCGGCCAATTTAATCTGACAACGGCCATCTGTTTGCAACGACTAATCCGAAACGGCTATTAAAGCGAGCGTAACGATACGGAGACGTGACGACATCGAAACGCGTCAAGTAGGTCGTGCACTGAACTATAGTTGTCGCTGTTGTAAATCATAGCTTGCGATTCGATACAGTAGGTTACCGTTTATTAATACACGCGAGTAACTAACGATACAACGGAATCGATTTCTAGTATTGGTTAGCTTTTGGTCGATTCGCTTGAAATGTAATATGGAGTGTGGGGGAAATGTGGACACCATGATTCGGCACAAATGATACCACGGGGTGATACCACGGCCTCAAAGAGAACCGGCGTGGAGCAAGACTAACGTTGTGTTTCGGCGAGTCAGTTAGGCACCGAGGGGCCAAACCTCCCCCTCCCCCCATTCTTTTCATTCATCCTCAAATCACAAAACTTTAAATCTCTAATTACTCAGCATTTTTTTAAGTAAAGCTTATTAGTTGCTATCGAAGCATTCCACCTACAGCCAACATAGCAACTATAAGTCAGTGTATAAATCAGTACATCGAAATTCATCCAAATTAAGCTCGCAGTTTTCGAGTTACAGTGTACCAAACGTCATGAAAACTTGCATTAATTACAACAGGACAGACAAGAGGTGATTTACGGTCAATAATGATAATCTACCGATGGATCTGGTTACTCGAGATAATGGATTTGTCACATTATACACGGAGCTTACGTAAAATTGCTATCTATAGAGTATAGACGCATAAAGCTACAATAGATATTGAAAATGGCCGCTATGCAGTAAACTGTTTCTGATATTTTAAGGGTTTAATCTGACAATCGTAATTCGAGACACAATAGAAGATTAATAGGTGCGCAAACGCCGGCGTTCTCTTGGGGTTTGATGAATTATGTATTATCAAGCTATTCGGATCCGTGTGTGGCAGGCTGGCCAGGCTTCTATTAAATTTCTAATCAGAGAATGGAACAAAATATCCTCATAAAAACCACTTCCTTATGAAGTCAATTAAAAACGTTATGTTAGTATGTATGAACAAATATCAACAAAACAATATGAGGAAATTTAATTAAAAGGAAGTAAACGACCGTTAATAGCTAAGAGATAAAAATGGCGTCTGTTACACTTTTTAACTATCGTTTAATTTTGAATCTTACATACAAGCGTTTAAGTCGAATTTAAGAACGTTTTCTATACGACATAGTTTATTAATGGAATATAAATTTATTAATGGCCAATGCTTCAATTTTAATTCTTCTCTTCGTACGCTAAATAACCATAAATAGATTATATTGAACAAATACAGAAAACGTTATATTTGTACATCACTAGAATAAATTTTACCTAACATACGTATTCGTAAGGAAAATCAGAGCACATAAAATTTATTTTACTTTGAACTATTCCAAATCTGTTCATTATATGGCTTTAATTCTAAACAAAACTATAAAAGAAGCCAAACAAAAAGAAAATTGTATATCCAAACATCCTGTATATGCGGGAGTTGGCACAGTGCCAAGCGGGGCGTATAGCGATAATTGTGACTAAGCGAGTTATTGGGCACCGATCATCATGCACCTGTCATACGGATGATTAGTGAAAGGGATTGCGTAGAGCCGAACGAAACCGTTGATGATCTCACTAGAAACTGCTTTGAGAAAATTTTGATCAGTACTCTCGACTTCTCGAGCTCGTGAAAGGAACTTTTCGCCAATAACGGCTTCTAAGCTGTATCTAAAAAAAGTAACGTATTCAACAAGAAAACTTACTCATAAAGAGGTGACTTGGATCAAATAAAATAAATGTTGACTAGCAGAAGTCTTCTAAGCAAATATGTATCAAGCCGTGAAAAACACTAAAAAAACACACGAGAAAAGGTGGGGCAACAAAACTGAAGACTGAGTGCCTAGTGCAAGTTTACTTTACGTCAACACGATCCATACGTTTGTGACGTTCAGGAGAGCAATTGCCTACTCAAAGTCAACCAGCCAATCACAGGACTAAACGCGGTACCGGTCTGATCGCGTGAGCGTGAAGAAAACGCGACTCGTGAAGAAAACTTGGCAATCTCAACTGGGGTTGCGGATAAAAGCGCAACGTACCTCAACAACAGTAGAAGGAACTGGATGGTTTTTAGCCAATAAGAGTCCGACACTTCTCGCTCAACCATGGGCGTGAGAACACACTTGAGGTTTAACCAGTAGACACTTAAAAAGCACAAGATAAAAAAACAACGTTTCAAGACCATTTTAATAAATGTAACACCATTTTCTGCTTCGTAAATCATCAATGAAAATACATTCACACCTCAAAAATACACGATAACCAATTTCTCTCAGACAACGAAAGCAAATTATGAATTTACTGACGAATGATGACGGTAATCCGACTAAAACTGGATGATCCTAATAAAACAAGCTTCAAGACGTGAAATAAACAAATTACAGTCAATATAACAGTTATCATAACAAACTCTGTGGTTTATTACACTAATATGTGGTTATGTTTAGCGTAAATATACACATAGAGGCATCTAATTTTATTGGTCGGCATACCAGGAGCGAGAAAACTTTTTGGAAATGACCTACTTTTATAAATTGGACCTAAAATTGAAATCGACAACTAAGGATAACGAATACAAATTAAGATCTTGTGATGTCTATGCAAAACGTACCAACGTTTTTGAGGACATCTGGACAAGTATCGAAGAAGAGCTTACTGACAAACCATCCTGATCATATTTCTCGATCGTATCTATAGGACAGCGAATATCGCATTCAAAATGTAAAAGGAAGTACTAAAGAACGACCAAAAGTATGGTGTGTATAGAGATTAAAGAATGCTAAGGAAGGGAATTCGTGATCAAACTTTTAATAAGACAGAATGGAAAAAAGACATTTTGGGGACGCCAAGTAATCCGGGATATGATCAAAAAGTATGCGGAAGAGAAATCTGAAATATTATTGGAGAAAAACTATCTACTTAGCACTAATCGATTTACAAACTAGCCGTATCGAATACTCACAAAATCAGTCAGCGGCATCAACTGATGACGTCATCATTCATATCATCGCTTGCATAGTAATACACACGATAGACCTAGTCGAGTAGACAGCTGAGATGAACGGCCGGTCTTATAATAAATCATTCAGCGAGTTATTAGTTACCGAGTCTACGCGATTATGTTCAGCATTAGTTAATATTGGAATAGTGAGTTATGTTTGCCTATTTATATTCTTATTAGCAGAAATAGTAAATAGTATGTTGTTTTAGTAGGTACATAACTTAGAATGAGTTTTTTTTTTTATATTTTGCCATTTCGTCTTTGGCTAAGACGGCTTTTGCAGTTTATTTATTTTTGTAATTCTCATTCATTTAGCGTTTGGATGTGCCATCAGTATAATTTCAACTAACTTTTGGCACTTTCATTAGTTATAATACGTCTCTGGCTATTAGTTTTAGAAAAAAGAAACTTACTTCTATATCCTTAATTTTCAACAAATTCATTTTGAAATCTAATAAATTGCGACAACAAACGGGATTTTTTAAAAGTAACGAACATAAAAACGTCTCGTTTAGTAATAATAGTTTCATCGTACTGAGCAGAAGAGTTCCATATGTGCGCGATTAACAAGATTATTTCCAACTAAAAGTAGCAAGCAATGTTTTGCCGGCAAAAATAGTCTATGGTGACGATAGAATAGAACAGTTTCGGCCATTATGGTTGTCCGATAATAATCTGTGGCAGCGTGAATAATCTGTGACAGTATAAATAGCTTTGAAATAATTGTACTCCTACTAGATTCAATAGGTCTATTATTTCTCGAGGATCCTCGCTATATATCTCTTGTCTTGCCTCTGCGGAATTTGTGATTATGCGTAGCATATACCTATTTATTGAGATATTCGTGCTTATTTCGCTAGACTAAGCTCGATTTTATTAATTTTACTCTTGACTTTATGATCAAAATTAAAAAAATAAACATCTGTAATATTTTCAGCACAGAACCACCTTTTGTGTGATCCACGATTTTTTCCGGGTCTGGGTGTGTGGCACATGCGAAAATCCTAGTGTAATTTTGACTTATTGCTAATTCACGAAAGGTAAAAAAACCGTATGACTTGAAATTAGGAAAGCTATTCTCAGTCAATTCAAGTAAATTGTTACTGACAATAAACTAAAAAAAACGTGATCTTTATTTTTTATTCTATAATTGCCCGCAAATTAAAAACAAGCAAAACACTTTATTCAATGGTATTTTATTTAGAACTGTTACCAGTGAAATACAGTTCGGTATTTTAAACTAACAAAACTCGAGTGTAAACTTCACCGTTACAGGAAAAACTACCTTATTACATATTATTTCCTGAAGTGATGAGGAAAATCGTCTCATATACTACATAATACACCGATGATATCGATTTCAGTGTCAATTTATTGTAATTACCATTATACAGTAGATCTACACGAGTTGTGATTGTTCATATAATATTTTAACACTTATATGACGTAATTTACGTATTTTAACAATAGGGATGATGACTAAAATTGTCTAAAATATAATAATTAGTCCATATTTTAGAACGCCAGAAAATAGTAGATAAGTACGTATTTTTTCTTTTGCTTCTAAAACTTAAAATAACAAAGTTTCAGAGCGGCGAAAGTTCACGCTACGTCATTATTTCGTAAATTTTTTACGAAACAGTGACGTCAAGAGCCCCTACTCCTGAATTTGAATGTGCTGTATCTTTGTCAATATTATTCGTATGGACAAATAAAAAAATACGTATCGAGTGTTTTTCTATAAACTAACTGACGGACTAATTAGAATCTTGTTGTTTTAACCCAGGAGACATCCCTAATATTAAAATTAACCACTCCTACAATTTTTTAAACGTGGTGCACTAGTATTTTCTGATTTCTGATGGAGACCTTTGTCCAGCAGTGGCACATAATAGGCTAGTAAAAAATGTGGATTTCTGCTAATTCTAACATACCTGTTTTTTAAGATCTGTCAAGTCTCCTGAGAGGTCCAGCTCGACGTCATCTCGTCCGGTGACGCACAGCGCCAGTTTCTTGACGATCACTCTGCGAGGATCATTTGGATCTGCGGGACAAATGAAAACAATAATCAGTTTTGCTAAACAATTTTGCAACCTCTTAGAACCTCTTTTATAATAGAATCTTCATTCAGAGATACGTAGATTTTTATGATAAAAAAAGGACAAGGACTTTTAATGTTTTTAACGTTATCCATATAAAAATGAAGATATTTAAGTGTGGGAGAGCCATGCTTCAGCACGGATGGGTCGGCTCAACCGGAGTAATACCACGGCCTCACAGAAAACCGGCGTGAAACAACTACAGCGTTGTCTTTTGAGGTTACGGGATGCCCGATCCTTCCTCTCCCCCAAACCCTAAATCTCCAAATCCCTAATCCCCAAAAGGTCGGCAACGCACTCGTAATTCTTCTGTTGTTGCAGGTAATAATCCGTCAGCACGTTTACCGCTAATGAACAATGACCTGTTACAATGAAGTTGAAAATCTAAAATCATGATAGTGAAGGCCTTTTTTCGCCTTTATTTTATCGTACAAATAGAGTTCAAAGTGCAAACAGAACAACTTCTTTAATAGGTGTACTTTAACGAGTAAATCTTTAAATTTTCATTCATTTGAGACGTAGCTTTTCCTCCTTATATGTCGATATCGAAAATATTTGCTAATTACGTAGATTAACACGATTATGACGAAAATAATCAGAATCTTCGGGTTAACAGTACGTGTAGATTCGTATCAAACAAAATACCGATGCGTAGATACAAATTTACGAGTATTTATACGAAACCAACTTTTATATTTCAAAAACAAATCAACACTCGATATAATAATACCAAAAATAATAAAATAATGTTCCCTGGTTTTCCTCAAATATCCCTATTACTAATATTGACTGCACGGTTGGCGCGGTGGCTGGGCAACTGGCTGCCGTGCGACGTGTCGCGGGTTCGATTCCCGCACAATTCCGTTACAACACTTTGTGTCATACACAAATTGGACAGCGTTATGTAAGAACGAATTAAGCGACAAAATTGAAAAAAATGAGTTTTGAATGCAGATCGATTCCAGGCATGATTAACTATGTGTGCAGCTATAACTATGTGTGCAGCTATTTTTGTGTTCAAAAGTCAATTCTAGTGCCTTATAATAAGGAGTGAATTAAGCGACATGTCAAAATTTATAACAAATTTTACACAAATTCGTTACGTAACAAAGAATTATGCACCTAAGTTACTATTACAAAATACACAAACAGGATTACAAAATGCATAAACGAATTATATCCACAAAAATTGTAGATAACCCGTTTCAATTTATTTTTTAAAAACGCAATATCGAACTAACCGCCTAAGATGGCAGCTAATTCGTTAATGCATATTATTATCTACGCGATCTTGCGTTTGTTTAAGAATTAAGCGCCAATTTTTTGTTCCTTTCTTGTTAAGTTTTTAGAAGTTTTTTATGTTGACAAAGTGTCTTTTTAGTTTATTAGATATTTATTTTGAACGGTATTAAGTTGATGATTACGAGATACATACATTATTTTTGGTTTTATTTTAAATAGAGATTGAGCACCGATTGAACGAGTTTAATTTTTATAAAGGATAGAGAGACAACATAATATGTTGTTATTTTGAGGTATATGACTAAAAAAATATTAAAAATTATGTGTAGCTCGTAATAATAGCACACAAGATCACCTTAGAGAAATGGTATAATTTTTGTTTAATTTCAGAACCTTGCATTAAAATATTTGGATTTAATCTTATACTGCATTTTATTTCACCCAAAACAAATCGTATTAAAGAATCAAACGACAATAATGTCATATAGTACGTTATTGACAAAATAATTTATCTGAATATATCTATAATACATTAACGAATTAAGCGGAAAAATGGCTATATCTTTTAAAGTATATTCTACACCGTGATATATCCTAAATTACTCTACACTCTATGCACATTTTATTTCATAGTAAAATTATCAAACACGTAACATAAATAATGAGCTCACAGTGACATTTTTAAGTTTAAAATCTTTGAAGCTCATTTTCTCAAATTCTCTTCAGTGTCGCTTAATATATTCTTACATAACGCTGTCCAATTGTTGTTTCGGGTCATGTGTTTGTGAAGTTGTATGTTTGTAAACGCAACCACGACACAAGAGAAAATCCCAGTGTAGGGAAAGGTAAAAAAAATATATATAAAGGGGTAAAACATGTAAGATTGTATGATTGGGGTAATCTTTGGAACCGCTAGTCGTATTTCGAAAATTCTTTCACTGATAGATAGCTAGAATGTTGCTATAGGCTGCGTAGGATACATAACCTTTTTACGAGTGCGAAACTGCGGACGGAAGCTAATTAATTATATCCATAACCATAATTGAAAAGTCTAAGTAAAGAAAATGAGGAACATTAATTACAAAATTTATTTAAAAGCCTACAAATGTTGAGCCTGGACAGGGCAAAGGGTAATCGGAGGCCAAAAAAATTTGTAGGCGGCCATTTTAATTAGATCAAAGGCCGACTAAATGGGCCTGTTAAGATTATAAGCTAATTTAGAAGTCTCTTGAAAGTTCGCCTCTGATTACTAATTGCGTTAGAAATTTAACGGATATTATTAATGTAAATTAAAGGTCAAAGGTCTTGTAATTAATAATTGGTAGCGTCAGGAGCGTTCATAGATCACCACTATGAGCTCCAGTTGAGGTTCGAAACTAGTCGAGTACCTCTTCAATTAATTGACTTATTTATATTGGCATCTGTAAGAAGCAAGCACGAAACGCAAGTTTGACAAATAAAAATCTTACCAGCGTAGATTCCTATTAAATGTTAATTTATCTATATTGAAATTGTCACACACACGACACGACAATACTACTTGAACTACAGACATCACTATGTATGTAGTTCGAATAGAATAAAAATAGAAAAACTCAGTTACTTCACAGTACGGATCGAACTTCGTATCTTCAAAAATCGACACAAAAGACAGACGAAATACTCAATAGGTAAAAAAACAAAAACTGATCGCCTCCAAAATTTCCACCTGGCGAGCAGCGTATGCTGTGTAATATATTAAATCGCGAGAAATCACAAATATATGCACACATCGCCATAGCTAAAGTCTAAATTTATATCTACACTATTAGAATAGATCGCACTACAGACCGTATTTTTTGCTAGATTTCGTCAGTAACTACGTCAGCGATGGGTGAGCCTAGCCTATCATGAACTATGGTTAGTATTAATCATCATAGAGATATAGGTCAAAGTCTTACTGGTTATGAAGACAAGAAAGATGGTAAAAAAAGTAATTTATTATTAATAAAAGCTAACTTGTTTAATGTATAATACAATAATAAGTTACAATCGCATTTCATTCTGTAGGTATGAGAATTAATCTTTTAAAGATTTTGTTTATTTAATGACAGAACATTGCTTTGGCAATTCGAAGGCGCCTGTACTTTGAGTATTAACCCGTGGTATTTACCTATCTACGCTTAGAAGCGTATGTTGTATGTATGTGAAATCTTAGCGTTACCTAGAGGTAACGCTAAGATTTCACATACAACATTCTTATACAGAAAAAGGTAAAGACAATTGCAGCAAAAAGGTTTTATATCGCAAGAATCAGACCACTACATCATCAAACAAAAACATCATCCGATTCTGCACTTCATAAAAAACCTAATTCGAAAGTGACACAGCTCATCATCATCATCATCATCATCATCAGCCCTTTTCAGTCCACTGCTGGACATAGGCCTCTCCTATTGCACGCCACTGGGATCGATCTTCGGCCACTCGCATCCAGCTCCTGCCAGCCATCTTGCGCAAATCATCACTCCACCTTGCCTGAGGACGTCCTACATTACGTTTGCCGAGACGCGGTCTCCACTCAAGAACTCGTCTACTCCAACGGTCATCGGTTCTTCGGCTAATATGGCCAGCCCACTGCCATTTCAGCTTGCTAATCCGGTGGGCTATGTCGATTACCTTGGTTCTCTGCCGGATCACCTCGTTTCTGATTCGATCTCGCAGAGAAACGCCGAGCATAGCCCTCTCCATAGCTCGCTGAGTGACTTTTAGCTTGTGAACCAGCCGCACCGTCAGTGTCCACGTTTCGGCTCCGTATGTCATGACAGGTAGAACGCACTGATTGAAGACTTTCGTCTTTAGGCACTGTGGGATCGACGACGTGAAGACTTGACGCAGCTTTCCATATGCTGCCCAACCTAGCTGAATTCTTCTATTCACCTCGTTCTCGAAGTTGTTTCTACCCATCTGCAATGTCTGCCCGAGGTATACATATTTTTGAACGACTTCGAGAACAGCGCCGTGTACTGCAATCGGTTCCGGTAGTACATGTTCATTGAACATGACCTTGGTTTTATCCAAGTTCATCCGTAGGCCGATGCGTATAGAAGAGTCAGCCAGGTCATTCAGCATCCGTTGTTGGTCCTGCAGCGTTTCTGCTACGATGACGATGTCGTCTGCAAATCGCAAGTGAGAGATGTACTCGCCATTTATGTTGATGCCGCGTCCTTTCCAGTTCAGCGTCTTGAACATATCCTCCATTGCATTTGTGAACAATTTCGGGGAGATAACATCCCCTTGTCTCACACCTCGATGCAACGGTATCGGCCTTGTTTGCTGATCCTGTACTTGGACGGACATGGTGGCGGCCTCGTAGAGACATCTCATCACTTGGATGTATCGCCAATCTATTTGGCATCGCTGCAGGGACTCCAGAACAGCCCAGATTTCGACCGAGTCAAAGGCTTTCTCATAGTCCACAAATGCTAGGCACAGGGGCTGATTATACTCCTCAGTCTTCTGTATAATCTGCCGCACTGTGTGGATGTGGTCTATGGTGCCGTATCCGCTCCGAAACCCAGCCTGCTCCGGTGGTTGGAATTCGTCAAGTCTTCGCGCAAGGCGGTTCGTGATCACTCTCGAGAACAGCTTATAGACGTGGCTTAAAAGGGAAATGGGTCGATAATTCTTCAGTAGGGTTTTGTCACCCTTTTTGAAGAACAAG